AGAACGAAGCAAGACTCAAGAGTAGGGTTTCAATCTTCTCATATTATTAAACGAAAGACGAAGTACATATTAATAGGCATAGAACATATCCTTTCTCCTACCTAAAACATGACAACTTCTCTAATAAGGAAACAATGACTAATTCCTAAACAACTACTAAAAAGCAATCACAATCCTGCTAAGACAATTAAACAATAAACAATACTAATATCATAAATAATAATAAATTATCAACTAATTAATTAAATTAGATGAGCCTCAGAAATTCCTATATTATTACGAATGGCTCGTATCGTAACATAATATAATCTTCACTGTTCTAAAAAATAGCTCATCAGTAATAAATCCTTTTTAAATTGGCATTGCAAGAAACCAAGCGCATGTTCTTCATCTCCTCGAACATTTTATTAGAATCATACACTTTTTTATATTTGACAAACATGTCTAACACTATCGTTGCAATGATCAACTCATATTGTAACCCACTTTATAACGGCAACTCCATGCAAAACCTACAGCGATCGAGGATCAAGTCAAAAAAAATTGTGGTATAAATGAGGACCCCGACCAAAATGAAAGAATTGAAGACCTAACCGGAGTGACGCATCAGGCTGAACATATTCATTAATTTCACGTGATGCCATCGATGGTGTAGTTGTGAATAACAATGGAAGAGACAATATTTACATCAGGCATTTTACGAACAAATTTTGAATAAAAAAACTCTTGCCGACTTGAAATAGACACTCAAGAGATCTGTGCAATTATGCTGCTCAAGGCGAAAAGCACGACACTTGGATGAGGTACAAAAGTAGCGAAGACACAAAAGTGCAAATGGGTTGCTCTTGATAAGAGTAGAACGAGTCTTGTGTTGCTCTTGTTGTTGTTCTTTTGTTACAACCCACTTTTGCTCCACCTTTGTCGCCCCATCCCACTAAATTCTCTACTTCAATGGTCAACGAACACCACCATCCATGTATCAATTTTGTATGAGATTAATGGAAAACATAGAGATTTATCTGAAATTTCATGGTATCAGACCTTACATGCTACATGACATCTTAATCCTCCTATCTCTTTCCTTTTTTTACCTTTTCTTCTTCTCTTCACTTTCCCTGGAAGCCATGATCGACACCTCCTCCTCCTCCTCTGCGACCTGTGAATCCTCTAATCCTCTTTATTCCCCTAATCTTCCAATCGACAACCCTCCTCCTCCTCCCTCACATTGCCATCGTATTATCCCCCACAAACTAACTTCTTTGAAAACTCCAGATCCTTCCCCACCTTAATAACTTCGACCTAGCTCAATTCATTGATGGCTCATCTCCTGCTCATCATCTCCCCGCCAGCGTTCCTAATCCAACTTATATGATGCATGGTATAAGCGAAACCAACTTGTTCTTTCTTGGATAATCATGTCTTTAACTAATGTTGTTCTTTCTAAATTGGTGGACCGCACATCCGCATTTGACGCTTGGACTCAACTGACCACTTCCTACACTTCTGCCAATCAACATAGCATCTATAGTCTCAAAGATCGATTTGATGCTCTCACTTGTGGCTCTGTGTCTATTGACAGGTATCTCACTCATGCCAAGGAGATCATCGACCGACTTGCCGCCCTTACTTATCCAATCTCTAACGATGATCTCATTTCTCGATGCCTCAAAGGACTTGATAAGTTCTTCTACTATTTCTTCGACTGATCAAAGCTTATCCTAAATCCCGTTCCTTAGAGGACTTCCTAGGTCTTCTCCTCAATGAAGAGACTTGCCTTCGCCAACATCATCTCCTCTCTGTGGTGTCATTAACTCGAGTGGAGCAATTTTTAAATTTTAGGAGACTCAAGAGGAACACAAGTTGCCACTCTCATCCTTTCACATGGAGGGAGATGCCAATCAATAGTGGAAGTTGATAGATTGCACCTATGCTAATTCTTGGTTGACTGTGACTTGGACGTGATTTTGCGAGGAACTGTGGGCTCGTTTCGGGCAATCTAAAGCAACCTCGAGCCACGAGGCCATCTAAAGCACCACCACGAGTCGCACCGCCACAAAACCCACCGCATGAAGGATGTCACCAGAAGAGGTCGCACATAGGAAAGCGCAAGGCCTATATTTTCATTGCGACGAGCACTTTACTGTCGGACACCGTTGTGCCAATGATAATGTTCTCCTTATGATTGGCGCGTGCGAGGAAGTAGAAAGATTTTGGGGCTTTCTATGTCTATAAATATGTACTTGTTCTTTCGTTTAATGGTATGAAGAAGATTGAAACCCAAATATTTAGTTATTGTTTTTCTTTTGTCACAATTTCCTTCGATTTATTGTGCTACTTTCGATGAGGTTTCTAGGCGCCATTCTATGAAAAATCGTCTCGTAACAATTGGTATCATAGCCTGGTTTCGTAATGTCGAATAAGCAACCGAAGACATGAGCAACAACGGCGAGCGAGATGGATCCCGAGTTGATGGGGCCGCGCCTGCAAGCCCTAGACGAGAGGGTTGCGGGACACGATGTTCAACTGAGCAGATCAGCAAGCAGTTGGAGTAAATGGACCGCAAGATCGACGAACGCGTCAACCGCATGCTGGATCCACTGCGATCCACGATCGGTTTTTATGCATGGAAGGAACCATGAGTGAGATCAGCAGACAATTGGGCGAGCTTCTCGCGAGAGCTCCCATTGACTCAGCCAGCTCGTAGAAATGCCTAGGTAGACCGGGGAGCGATCCTCGGCCGCTGAAAAGTTGAAAGGACCGTTGGTGTAGGACGACGACGTGCAGACCACGAGGCCACCAGCAACGATGGGTATTGGCGGTGGGGCAGGAACCGACACTAGCACTTGGCGGGAGACGGAGGCTGGGTGATGGCTACTTGTGGATTATGTCCCTGTTTTAATTAAGGAGTATTATTTTTATTTATTTAATTAAGGAGTAATTATTGAGGATTAGTAATTTATTTAACTAAATTATATTTATTTGTCATTCAGGATATTATTATTATTATTTCATTATTTTAGTAGGCTTTGATTTTTTTTTTCGTTGAATGCTTTGGATTTTCTTTTGGTATTTGTTTAGGAGTATTATTCTAGTGTCCTTGTGGGATTAGTTGTCATATTTTGGGTAGGAAAGGGAGATAGCTTGCTGAACCATGGGTGGGAAGGAGAAGGATTTTTTGGGTCTTTCTGTGCCTATAAATATGTACTTGTTCTTTCGTTTAATGATATGAAGAAAATTGAAACCCAAATATTTAGTTATTATTTTCTATTATAGAAATTTCATTGATTTATCGTATTATTTTTTATCAGTTATCTAGACGCCTTTCCACAAAAGATACAAACCGTTGCTAGCTAGTTACTAGTTCTATACATTTCCACCAAAAATCAGATTGCCTTACCAAGCACTTGCCTCGACAACTAGGGGTGTTTAAACGGATTGGTTACCGTGGTAACCATATTAACCGGTAGTATTCGGTTAATTTGGTTTGGTTAATTTAGATAATTGGTTTGGTTTGGTTAAATAATTTAGCTTATTTGGTTTATGTGGTTTGGTTTGGTTTCAATACTGCTAACCAATGAAACCAATTAATGATACACCTAATATACAAAATTATTTATACTTCCATGCAACCAACCAAACCAAACTTTCGTGATTCCCTATTTTATTTCCATGTGCACAACAAACCAAAGCATTATGGGTCAAAAATTAAGATGGCATGCCTATTTACTAAACCAAAACATTTTGGACAGCTCCTTGACTTTAGGATTACGTACAATACCATGACAAACACCTCGAACTATGTATAGTTTAAGTGTTTTGTATGAGACTTTAACTTCATGATGAGTGCTATTGGTATGTATTTACTATTTATGTTAAGGGTTTGTTGTAAACTAACTATATTAGTGCAGAGATGATGAATGATGTATTAACTCCAATGATGATGATAATCATGGATGGTTAGTCTTATTATTATTGCTTATATATAATGATAGTTTATGATAGTAATAACATATGGTTATGTTTTATTCATTAACAGGATAATTGTTTTCATGTAGTTTTAGGTTATTTGGTTTTCGTGTTAATTTGAACGGTTTGCTTAAGACATTTTATTCCATGGTTACTGAAATTTAGCTTAATTGGTTTGGTTATTATCACGGTAACCATTTGGACACCCATATCGACAACGTTTCCTCCATTTCAATAACAGGTTGAAGGTCATAAACCCTCAACTTGCGGGGCGCGATAAGAGTTACCAAGTCTTTTGCATTTCTGTTTCTGTGCTGTTACAATCCATTTCTATTCCATTCTTTATCACCCCACTAGGGATGGCAATTACCCACCCATGGGTAATTTTACCCAAATCCAAATAGATCTATTTAGTATGGGTAGGGTTTGGATGAAGTGTATATGGGTTTGGGGGTTTGTAAATGGGTTTGGGTTAGGTATGGATATTGCTTTCATTATGTAAATGGGTATGGGTTGGATATAGATATCCATTTACTTGAGGGTGTTTTAACTACACATACAAAAATTGGACCTATTTGTAAAACTTGAAAAGTTTAGGTACCAAAATGTAAGACCAAAAAGTTTTAGGTACTAAAATGTAATTTTCCATCAAATTTTGAGGACTTATATGCAAAAAAAATTAAATTTAGGTACTAAATATGCATATCTATTAAATTTAGGTATCAAACTGTAATTTGCCTTTGGGCATGGATATAAACCCAAATCCATTTGTTAAAAACCCAACCCAACCCAAGTAAATGGGTATGGGTACAAATCCATCTAACTCTACCCATCTACCATTTATTTGGAATCCATACCCAACCCAATTGAGTTGGATAGTAAAATACCCATGGGTATGGGTAAAATTGTCATCCTGACCCCACTCTCCTTCTACTTTTTCCACTTTAGTTGTCTACGAACACCACCATCCATGTATAAATTTATTGTATGAGATTAATTGAAAACATATAGAATCACCTGGGATTTCAGCTTTGAGCAAGCCTTGAATTCCTGAGGAGAAATTTGGATCATGGTTTACGGTTCATTTCGGTTGGTTTACTGATCTATTTAAACTTGGTCTGCCGTTCGGTTCGAGTTGTTTTTAGCTTAATCAGCAAGTGTTCGTATGAGGCGCGGGAGAGATTAAACAAAACTCTACCCGACGAAGGCAGCAATCGTTAAGCGGGAGAATCTGACATCACCACGCGTCTTTCTTCTTAAGTTCCCACAAAAAAACCGACACGGTTTCCTTTTCCCAATTTCCTTCGACTGCAAGAGTTCCCCCCTCCTTCTTTGCTTAATAACCAACAGTTCTCCAATTTTTTCCTTCGCCTCATCACCCGAAAACCAACCAACTGATCAATCTGCTTCCAAAGCTCAAAACTTTCCTGAAAAATGGAGGCTTCAAGGAAAAATCCCCTCTACCCAGAAGTAATCCTCTCCAACCCCGAAAGACCTATTGCCACAACCTCTTCCTCTTCCGCACCCTCCGCCCCATCTCTTTACCCGACGATCTACATGTCGGATCTCGCCGAGAATCTCTTCCCCGAGAACGAAGCCGCCCTGGCGGAGCCGGCTCCACACGAGGAGCTTTTGATCACGATCCCGGGCGCCATAGTGCACTTGATTGAGAAGGACCACAGCGTGGAGCTTGCCTGCGGGGCTCTGGACATAGTTACCTTCAAGCAGGGGGGAACAGTCATCGCGGCATTTTGTCGAATAGGTGGCGACATTCAGTGGCCGCTGGCGAAAGACGAGGCCGCAGTGAAGCTCGACCAGTCCCACTACTTCTTCTCGCTTAGGGTTCCTTCGGGGAGTCAAGAATTCAGTGATGAAGAGGAGGAATCGAGGGGAAGTGGGAATCAATTCGAGGTCTTGAACTACGGTGTTACCTTTGCTTCAAAAGGGCAGGAGGGCTTGTTGAAGGAATTGGATAGGGTGTTGGAGAGTTACAGTGCGTTTTCGGTTCAGGAAGTGAGGGAGAAAGGGATCGATGGGAATGTGGCCAGGGAGACTACGCCAGAGGAGTTTGGGAAAGAAGGGAAGAAGAAGGAGTTGATGAAGGAAAACTCTGCGGCTTATTGGACTGTTCTGGCACCAAATGTGGACGATTACAGCAGCTCCCTTGCTAGGATGATTGCGGCAGGATCGGGGCATGTGATCAAGGGGATTCTGTGGTGTGGGGATGTGACTACTGATAGATTGAAATGGGGGAATGATTTCTTGAAGAAGAGGTTGAAGAAAGGTGACACTGTGGAGGTCAGTCCAGCAACTCTGAAAAGGATCAAAAGGTGAGACTGAGAATGATCTCTTTCTTCTTGAAGTAATTTGTTTCTAGTTAGACTGGTAGTTGCTGCTAGATTGAACGGGGGGAAGTTAAAAGCTTTACATTGTCAACTGCTTCAATGTAGTCTTAGCCGCCAATAAGACTAATAGAGTTTCTGTTGAGGTTGAATTTTGGTGGTGACGATTGAAATGGGTAATCATCGAGTTCAAGTTTTCTATATTTAGGATGAGTGCAGTACTATTTTCTTTTATTCTCAATTCGTGGAATCAAGATCGACAAGGGCATGACTGGTTTCCCGTGATGATTCCGTTTTCTGATTCTCTCAATGTTTGCTGCAGTTAATTGACAGCGTGTCTTGTGATTACTTCCAGGGTTAAGAGGCTGACAAAAAGTTCGGAAAAAGTGGCTGTTGGACTCCTATCTGGTGTGGTCAAAGTTTCTGGTTTCTTTACAAGTCCCATTGTCAACTCTAAAGCAGGGAAGAAGTTTTTCAGTCTTTTGCCTGGAGAAATCGTTCTTGCTTCATTGGATGGATTCAGTAAGTTCTCGATTCACCTTGGAATTATTATTTGGGACGGAGATGCTTATAAGCACTTTATTCGGCTGGATCAATATGAAATCTACAGCTGCTGACTGTTGACTTTGAAACTGTTATTCCTCTAACGTGAACGAACGAATGAATGGTTTACTATGAAGCATTCTAGTTTTCGCATGGCTCTACATCTAACCAATTTCTCTCCTGTCTTGTGTGATTATGCAGACAAGATTTGTGATGCTGTTGAAGTTGCTGGAAAGAATGTCATGTCAACCTCATCAACAGTCACAACTGGGCTCGTCTCCCATAAGTATGTCTCGTCTCTCATAGTTATATATATTCACTATCATATGCTCGGCAAGTTGGACCGGGGATATTGTATGTCTCATAGTTCCCTAACACTAGGAAATCAATATCTTAGAACTCGGTGCATGAATGTAGTCATTTATGTGTACGATCCTTCTGAGGCCTCCATCTTATAGGAAGGATCCTGATATTTGGAATGCAGGTATGGAGAACAAGCAGCAAAGGCGACGAATGAAGGGTTTGACGCTGCAGGGCATGCCATTGGCACTGCCTGGGCTGTGTTTAAGATAAGGAAGGCTCTAAACCCAAAGAGTGCTTTCAAGCCAACATCTCTAGCCAAAGCAGCTGTAAAGGCTAGTGCTTCGGATCTCAAGTCTAAATCCTCGAAGTAAGGATAGCCAGAGTTCGATTGGCGTTGGTTGTTGTTTGGTTTGGTTTGGTTTGGTTTGGTTTTTTTTTTTTTTTTTTTATGTACAAGGGATGGTGGGATTTGTTTGTAACCATAGATATTAGATTTGCTAGTGTTGAACTGAAACAGATTATGTGCTCTCTCCTCATTTTGTAATCAATGGCTTCACCTGAGCTCCAATGTGTAATGCATTAATCTTAAAACACTTGAAAAAAGAGGCCCAATAAGCTGTCCATTTGAAACTTGGGCGATTGGGCCACAAAAGTTTTGGCCTTCTCATAGTCTAATGGTTGGAGTCGTTCAGTTGTTTACTTGATACTTGATAGAAGGTAAAAATATAATAATCGTATGATAAACAAGATCAGAGTTTTTGCATGTGAAACAACACAGCAATGACGTGAAATTGTTTGTAAACTAGGGTTTCTCAACCAATCCAAAATAGAAGCAGAGAGGAAGAACAATGTCAAGGTGCTTGCCATTTCCTCCGCCTGGTTATGTTTGGCATGGAGTGGAAGGAGAGGCATTGATTCAGTTGCTAATCAAGGTGATCGTTTCCTTCATAATGAGGTTCTTACACGCACCCTTATGCCTTGCGCTGATGGTTGTTGTTTGCTGCTTGTGTTTTAAAACTTCAGACAAGAGACGAGAAACAAAAGCAAAGAGAGAAGAGGAGGAGGAGGAAGCAACATGAGTGGAAGAAAAGGAGGTTCTCTGTTGTAATTGATCCACTGGATGAGTGTTCTGACAATGACAACTATGTCAAGATGAAGAAGAAAATCAGGTCGCAATGTTTTGATTAGACTAAAACGTGTGAAATGAAGCATCGAAATACAAGTGTGGTGATTAAGAGTTGCGACATTTTAAAAAAATGATCGTTCTATGTAACAAATTGAATATATGCATATGAATATTTGACAACTCGAGACTGATAATGTATTTGATTGACTCTTTAAGACAAGAATCAAAGGCTGCTTAGAGGTAACATTTAGAACTTGAGAAGTCTCCACTTACTATACCATTCTAATTTAGATACCATGAAAAGATGATAGTATGTGAGTTCAATATAATCATTACATTTTGAAATTGAGATTCTTAGCATCCTATATTACTATTTTTTTCATCTCCTTCTAGTGGTTATAGTAACTTCTATAGATTGTTTTATTCTGCAATACTAGGGTCATGTGTAGTTGATACGTTATCACTTAAAAAGGTTTTACTATGCAAATTCTTCGTCAAGTATATAATTAGCTAACACTGGACAGTAAACACAATTGTACCAAATATTTTAGGACATTCACAGCTATAAATAATTCACAACACAATTATCGTCTTATCGGTTATTTTTTGGGTGAGATGAAAATTGATGATCTAACTAATTGTATACGAAGGACTAAACTAATCTTGATGGAAGTTTGAGGGACCAACTGACAAAGAGAGATAGTAAAGGGACTCAATTGACTTTTTAGTTGCCCATCGAAAACAGAAATAAAGGTGGAAGAGCATAATTTCCTTGAGGATGAGGATTGTGTCTTCATCCTGTCAAACTCGCTTTCGTTAAGCCACACGCCACTCTAATCAATCGTCCGATTGGGAACAAAACTAGGGTTCATGCTGATAAACCGGGGAAAAGTTCCAACGTATTGAAACTCAACGACCGCGATGGGAGGTTCCAAAGCTACGATTGAGGTGGCCAAGACGGTCATCGGGGTGGCAGACGTGGGATGGACGGCGATGGAGTTCGGCCACCACCACCTCCACACCCACGATCAAGAAGAAACCGGTACCCAGGCGAAAGCAGCGGAATCACTCTCCGTAGATGACGAATTGGAGGGCTTAAGATCCGAGAATCGACGGTTGAAGTCTTGAAGAGTTTGCTGGAGCACAACCTCAAGCTCATTTAGAATTTTTCAGAATCGCCTCGCTTGATGAATGATTGCCCTCCTAACGTGAGTACCCTTTTCTCAGTTTCTTTCTTGGATGTTACTTTATCACAGAATTGAAGTTCGATTTTGTTGGGAAAATGCAGTCTTGCACAACACACTTCATTCTACTGTTAGAATATGGGATATCGAGTGGCTGAGAGCCAAATTGTCTTGCTAATTAGGATAATTAGTGAGATCTTTAGCTTTCTCTGTGAGATCTTGTGAGCATACGATTCTACATTAAACTTACTGTTCTTTGATTGATAATTAGCAGAACTGTAACATTGTGGAGTTTTGGTTTCATCAATTACAGCTCTATGCTCGTCTGGCTGCCACTGTGGATTCTGAAAAATTCTTGAGTCAGCTTAAATCTCTTCAAGAGGCAACCAGAAATGGAGCTACCCCTGGATTCCCTTTCAACGAGGCTACAGGTATCCTACATATACAATTTAGTGTTTTCCCCTCAGCTCATTGGTGTGTATGTATGCCTTTGGATACATATATTGAGGTGCGCTCCTGTTTCCTTGATCAGGTAATGACTTGCACAATGTGGAAGTTCTGATTAAGATTGACCAAGAAGAGCCTAGTAGGTGGGTATGGGTCACAAAAGAAATGATTCATGGCGATACTGAAGAACATAGTGGAATTGATAATGAGTGTTACGTGGTCATCAACGAGGACTAGGTAGTTGATGCAGTTGCTACCTTTATGGCTAAGTGCATCACTGCAAACCCAAAATCATAGGTATCTACCAAGCTATGGAGGTATTATTTATGTTATGTTCTTATAACATGTCGTATCTTACAACGGTCCCCTGCTTGGAAATGCATAAACTTTCTCCCGAGGATCTCCAGAAAGGTGAGTTATCTGCCATCCTCCATCATATCATTGGAAGCATTCTCTGAAAACTAACCAGTGTTGGATTTTTTTCTTCTTCTGACAATGCTATTGACCATATATGAAAAGGTTTTGATGTTTGTATATCTAATAGAAGTAGTCTCACGTATTGAGGATATCTTAAAGCTCAATATCAACTTTCCTATTCGTCTTTGATTTATGTGAAAATAATATTCATAGACTTATATCCATTATGTACTCATATTACGAGCTTGTGAATCTGCAGCCGTCACACAAGCTTTGGGTGGTGGTGGTGTTAGCAAATTTGAGAGAGCAATGGATATTTGGGACGCTTGGCAGCCGTCACACAAGCCGTCACACAAGCTTGCAGGGTGAGTGTTTTTTCATTTACTTTTAGAATGGCATTGTTTATTTATTTTTCTGGTGAAATTCAGAATGGCATTCTCAATTCAACATTACACGTCAATTGATCAAACACACCATGACTCTAAATGAACCCTCATTGGTGCTAGTAGTTTGAACTGTAGTTCCTTGTTTGTTATGCAACCTAAGTTCATCAAGAGTCAAATAGTTGGGATCTTAGCTCTGAATTAAGGACATTGACATACCTGTAGCACTTGGCGTGATCCAAGTTTTGCATTTTCATTTGCTTTGTCTTCTGGTTTCATGGATTATTAAGATAATGGGCATGGATCTTTACATAATTAACTATATGGCTATACCCATATTGGATTATGCAGTTTGTACAAGACTCGGGCCGCGTGGAAATATGTTGTTGTGGATATTCACAAAACTATCAAAGTCGTCCTCAAGGCTATGTGAATCGAAGGAAAGAATTCTTGTTTGATGTACATATAACGAACTTGTTTTGGAAATTTTGTCTCCTTCCTTCTCAATTTCGAACTACCCTCGTGTGATTGTGCAAGTTCCTCCCAACTGTGTATATTCTCTATAAATGTTAGCGGGGGTTAATGTTCACACTTCATAACATTGGGATATTTCAATTGATTGTTTGATCATACATCTATTAATAACTGCAATCTTCTGCTGCCTGTCATCCTTTGGCAAAAGATAAAACAAACTATAACAACTCCATATTAGAGTGTATGAAGGTAACAATGATGACTAATTTTTCCAGTAAAAAACGTTGCATCACTCCTAAAAGTCAGCTCCAACAAGGAACCAAATGGAAACCCATATGACCAAAATTGGCAAAGTGGTGACATAATAGTTCTTGAATCTCCTCCGAGGGAGCATTCACACGGTTCTTCGAATTCCAATAACAAACTCAATTTCGTGGAAGCTTTAAGGGCATTCTTCTGTTTCAGAGAAGGAGCAAGTCTAATGGCAAAGCCTGGACGTCTATCTCTCATCTATATCCGCAATTGTGGTTTGAATTGATACAAATTGACAACCTGTCAAAACACATACGTGGATTAAGTACTCATGCGTAAACCAACTCTGTTGCATTGAACAACGGGAAGAATGACAAGCTTTTCCTTGAGAGACTAAGCTTCTAACAAGGTCTGATGATTTTTATGTTTCCGGGGACTCCCTCTTACGATCTGATGAAGCATATGACTGGGCCTTACCAAACACCGACCTGCCCCACGCAGATAGTCAGAGAGATGATCAAAATATACAACCAACACACCAAAAATAACGATGTTGGAAGAGATGTCTCGTATCATAGAGAGATTGGCAGGGTTAGACCTAGGTAATGTGAAAGTACATATCCACAAGTTGAACATTTGTCGTGATGCTAAGTGTAAGAAGTTGAATATGGAATATGGACAAGCAAACAGAACATACATAGCCCATGTCAATTGTTGTTTTATGGCAGAAACATCTGCAGCAACACAGAGCTAAGTGAGTTGATGCTTCATGATTGAAATCAATGACACGATAAAGAAATGTATGAAAAGAGAACAAACAAAATAAAACCACTCACGAAGCACGTAAATCTACACCAACTGGCCTTGGCAGTTGTAAGAAGTTTCTCGAGTGCAAGTCAACTGCAAACACAGTTTGCAGAGATAATGAGAACGTGATATCAAACGACCAGTTTATACCAAGTCCATTTTGTAGCTGTAATTCTACATGGGATGTCACTATTGCAAAGTAAAACATATATTGTCATTCTATAAGAAAGGAGAAAGAGACATACTGCTAAGTATTGATACAGCCCTTCCAAATGTTGGGGCTTAACATATACACCTCCAGTTATGTATGAAGCCTGTGGAGATAAAGATCGATCAGATATCAATAACTACCTCCATCAGCAAAAGAATATCATGCATAAGGATTTACTACCTGCTGCAAGAATGAAGAATTGTGAGAACCAACATAATAACAATCTATTGGCACCTGCAGCAGCGGCAATTAAGAATGTTTAAGTCAAGTATCTCTGAGTTCAAACTTTGACAAGACGAAATTGGGTTCTGAAGTAGTAAAACCGCTCACAGCTAAACAAAAGTAGACAGAACCATGATAATCGGCTTTAACATATTGAATTCTTGAGCTTTACGTGACTATCCTATGATATATTTAAGCCAATTGGTGCTATTTTAGGGCTCGCTAACCCGGGAATGGTTGAAAAACCATTACTTCCTAGTGCCATGAGTTTGATATGTTACAGGTGGAGAAAGCACAAAAAAGAAGCGAGTGCACAAGCAATCAATCGGGCTCGAATCACTGGTGGAATGCTCACTTGGGCTAGGAGGATGCAGGATTGTTTTTGGTGGGAGGAATTAATTGGGATATGGAATTGGGCTCAAGGACAAGCGGGATTGGTTTTTGGTGAAGGAAGAGCGGACGAGAGAAGAAGTGGGCCGGGACTTTTAATGGCTGGAGAAGAAAAGAAGGAAAGGGGGTCCAAGGTTTTGGGGGATTGGCGAAAACGAAATTCTTGGAGGGATCTTCTAATGGGAGCTGGCGGCGGAACAAAAGGGGGCAATTATTTTTTGGGCGGGGAGAAAATTCTTTTGAGGGGACAGAATCTCTTTTGGGAAAAAAAGAAAGGGCGCAGCGCAGGGCAATTGGCGATCGACTTTACCAAGCGGCTTGAGCTGAGTTCAACGAGAGCGATTATTTGGTTGGATTTTCTAAACCAAATTAGTTGATTATTGTTGATTTAGAATATGATGATCAAAACTATATCGATTTATTTCAGTTTCATCATGAACTAAACCCCAATTTCTGGGGCAAAACCATAGGATGTAGCTATATCTTGACTTGATGGATTAATTCGTATTTCTTTTCTTCCAATCTCTATCGCATGGAATTACTTAATGCTTTGTGTTGACTGGCCACCAATACATTGATTTGTGTTAATTAGGTTATTAGCGACAGTGAAACCCTAATAAATGAACATATTTCATGTGACATAGTAACTTATCGAAGCGACAGTGGATTAAATAAGGTGCTATGTGGTCTTAAATATGATATCGATCTTCAGGCTAAATAATTAAGTCATTGAGCTACGACAGTAGGATTTGATTTAATTGTTTAGTACGTAGTAATTCTCGACAGGGATAGCTAGCACATTCGTGATATCCTGGCTGTAGAGAGTTGGATTAAATTGATTGGAATATTTGAATTAATCTGGATAGGATAGGTAGTGAGTCCCAGTGTTTCTCCCATTGAATTTCTCCCGACAAATTTACTTTGCTTAATAAGTTTAATTATTTTGAAATTAGTTAATAATTTCATCAACCAAACCATTTTTTCACTTATAGTTTGCTCCAAGGAATTGATAAATTATAAGGTTGTACCAGTCTCTAAGAGACGATACCCGGATGCGGTTTTACTACAAGATAGGAATTGGCATTACGCTTTTGACCTATCAAGTTTTTGGCGCCATTGCCGAGGACTGCCATACCTTATTTTTTTTTATTTTAGTGAGTGCACTATTTTGATCTGGGTGTTAGTGTGCAGGTGAATTTTTCCGGTGTATCCTCCTCGTGCATGCCAAGGAGGACGACCGACAATTTACTGCCACTTGATTCGGAGATAAAGAGGACCTGCCGACAGAACAGGAAGCAGGTCAAGTTAGGGAAGCAGCCAACCACAACCACAACTCCTAGTCCTTCCCTAACCAAGAATCGTCAATAAAGAGGGCATGCTTCATCACCTATCGTCCCTACACCACCGACACCACCACCTCGTGACATTGAGCCAGACATCATGGCAAACGAGGATCGATCAATCAGGGCTCGTCTGAATCGAAGGACTGGAGCTAGAGCTTCATGTGTTGTCATTCCGGCTGGGGATGCAACCATGGAAATTACCCCAGCATTCATCAATATGATCACCAATGGGTACACTTTCTCAGGGGCTAGTACTGAGGATCCTCATGAACATCTCCGCCGGTTCGCGAGCATTTGTGATACGATGAAGAGCCCGACCGTGTTTGATGATGCAATCCGTCTTCGGATGTTCTCATTTTCTCTGCTAGGGAATGCATCACACTGGTTCCATAACTTAACACCCCGTTCCATCACGACATGGGGTCGGCTTGAGAATACCTTTTTGGATAAGTACTTTCCTCCTGCCAAGGCAATGAAGAGGCAAGAGGAAATTGTAACTTTTAAACAAGCTGAAGACGAGAGTCTGACCGAGGCATGTGAGCGCTATAAGGGGCTTTTAATGAGATGCCTAAGCCACGGTCTTAAAGATTGGAACGTGATCTCTATTTTCTTCAACGGAATCAGAAGGCAATTCTGAGATGCTCTGAATAATGCTTCCCGAAATGGTTTCACAAGGATGGAAGCACCAGAAGCATATGAACTGGTAGAGAATATATGTTCTGAAGATACTGAATGGGG